TGTGAGTGAGTCAGTGCATGATGTGTGAGTCAGTGTATGATGTGTGAGTCAGTGTATGATGTGTGAGTGAGTCAGTGTATGATGTGTGAGTGAGTCAGTGTATGATGTGAGTGAGTCAGTGTATGATGTGAGTCAGTGTATGATGTGTGAGTGAGTCAGTGTATGATGTGTGAGTGAGTCAGTGTAAGATGTGTGAGTGAGTCAGTGTATGATGAGTGAGTGAGTCAGTGTATGATGTGTGAGTGAGTCAGTGTATGTGAGTCAGTGTATGATGTGCGAGTCAGTGTATGATGTGTGAGTGAGCCAGTGTATGATGTGTGAGTCAGTGTATGATGTATGAGTCAGTGTATGATGTGTGAGTGAGTCAGTGTATGATGTGTGAGTGAGTCAGTGTATGATGTGTGAGTGAGTCAGTGTATGATGTATGAGTCAGTGTATGATGTGTGAGTCAGTGTATGTGTGAGTGAGTCAGTGCATGATGTATGAGTGAGTCAGTGTATGAGTGAGTGAGTCAGTGTATGATGAGTGAGTCAGTGTATGATGTGTGAGTGAGTCAGTGCATGATTTGTTAGTCAGTGTATGATGTGAGTCAGTGTATGATGTGTGAGTCAGTGTATGATGTGAGTCAGTGTATGATGTGTGAGTCAGTGTATGATGTGTGAGTCAGTGTATGATGTGTGAGTCAGTGTATGATGTGTGAGTCAGTGTATGATGTGTGAGTCAGTGTATGATGTGTGAGTCAGTGTATGATGTGTGAGTCAGTGTATGATGTGTGAGTCAGTGTATGATGTGTGAGTCAGTGTATGATGTGTGAGTGAGTCAGTGTCGGCCCCTGCCAGCCGCCGCTGCGAGCGCGGCTCGGGATCGCCCCAACGCGGTAAAAATGATGCATACACTAACTCACTCACACATGTATGAATTCGTACCTGTCAAACCAGACGGTTTACTCGCATCCTCGCACAGGGAAATTGAGTCTTCAGGCCCACACGGCGTACAGCCGTTTTCAACACGAGCAACAAAAACGTTGTCTGTTTGTTTGTATCTCTCTTGTGAAGGCACTTTGTAGGATAAACGTTGAGATGTATCGGGGTGCCCAATAAGGTGTGGATTGGTCTGTAATAGGGTCTAGCGCACGAGCGGTAAGGGGCTGCCGGGTTGGGGAGTTGGGGAGTTCACCGACTGAATCCGCATTTAAAAGACAATCACCAAGCCACCCGGCCGCGCGGGTCGCCAGGGTAAGTTTATTTCTCTCCTCCCCTCTCATCTCGACGGCTTTCTTTGTATAATGATGACGTGCTGCGGCCGTATTATGCATTCATTTCGTGTTTGATGTGAACTCGTTACGAACGCAGCGTTGTCCAAGCCTCTGCTGTCCGTGCTGTGGACTTGCCTCTCTCCTCAATTGCATCCTAACTTGAGGCCGTCTCTCTCTCTCTCTTATCTTTTACCAACCCCCGTCTGTCAAATAAATGTCCCAATTTATTGTACGGTGGCTTGCAATCACATGGTTTTATATGCTCCGTATATATGTGTGTGTATCTCCAATTTGTATGATATCGATTTAAAGCTTTCGTGACTGCAATGATTCATCTTCTTTGGTTCTTTCGGTAAAGTCACGTAGAATGATAATAAAATAATAAATTGATAAAATAAAATAACACAATAATATTCCCACGACGTTTCGGCCACAACACAAGCGGCCTTCATCAGGTGAAGGGGGCGAGACTGTCTGGTAGGACAGCGCTGGAGTGACTCCAGCGCTGTGTGAGTCAGTGTATGACAGCAGAGTTACTAACTCTATAACTAACACCAGCAGGGTTACTAACTCTGTAACTAACACCAACAGAGTTACTAACTCTGTAACTAACACCAACAGAGTTACTACCTCTATAACTAAAACCAGCAGAGTAACTAACTCTGTAAACTAACACCAACAGGGTTACTAACTCTGTAACTAACACCAACAGAGTTACTAACTCTGTAACTAACACCAACAGTTACTAACTAAGAAAACTAACACCAGCAGAGTTACTAACTCTGTAAACTAACACCAGCAGGGTTACTAACTCTGTAAACTAACACCAGCAGGGTTACTAACTCTGTAACTAACACCAGCAGGGTTACTAACTCTGTAACTAACACCAACAGAGTTACTAACTCTGTAACTAATACCAGCAGGGTTACTAACTCTGTAACTAACACCAGTAGGGTTACTAACTCTGTAACTAACACCAACAGGGTTACTAACTCTGTAACTAACACCAACAGAGTTACTAACTCTGTAACTAACACCAGCAGAGTTACTAACTCTGTAACTAACACCAGCAGAGTTACTAACTCTGTAACTAACACCAGCAGAGTTACTAACTCTGTAAACTAACACTAGCAGAGTTACTAACTCTATAACTAACACCAGCAGGGTTACTAACTCTGTAACTAACACCAACAGAGTTACTAACTCTGTAACTAACACCAGCAGGGCTACTAACTCTGTAACTAACACCAACAGAGTTACTAACTCTATAACTAACACCAACAGGGTTACTAACTCTGTAACTAACACCAGCAGAGTTACTAACTCTGTAACTAACACCAGCAGGGTTACTAACTCTGTAACTAACACCAACAGAGTTACTAACTCTGTAACTAACACCAGCAGGGTTACTAACTCTGTAACTAACACCAGCAGGGTTACTAACTCTGTAACTAACACCAACAGAGTTACTAACTCTGTAACTAACACCAGCAGAGTTACTAACTCTATAACTAACACCAACAGGGTTACTAACTCTGTAACTAACACCAACAGGGTTACTAACTCTGTAACTAACACCAGCAGAGTTACTAACTCTGTTATCTAACACCAACAGGGTTACTAACTCTGTAACTAACACCAGCAGAGTTACTAACTCTGTAACTAACACCAGCAGGGTTACTAACTCTGTAACTAACACCAGCAGGGTTACTAACTCTGTAACTAACACCAGCAGGGTTACTAACTCTATAACTAACACCAGCAGGGTTACTAACTCTGTAACTAACACCAGCAGAGTTACTAACTCTATAACACCAGCAGGGTTACTAACTCTATAACTAACACCAACAGGGTTACTAACTCTATAACTAACACCAGCAGAGTTACTAACTCTGTAACTAACAGAGTTACTAACTCTATAACTAACACCAACAGGGTTACTAACTCTATAACTAACACCAACAGGGTTACTAACTCTATAACTAACACCAGCAGAGTTACTAACTCTGTAACTAACACCAGCAGGGTTACTAACTCTGTAACTAACACCAGCAGGGTTACTAACTCTATAACTAACACCAACAGGGTTACTAACTCTGTAACTAACACCAGCAGAGTTACTAACTCTGTAACTAACACCAACAGGGTTACTAACTCTGTAACTAACACCAGCAGGGTTACTAACTCTGTAACTAACACCAACAGGGTTACTAACTCTGTAACTAACACCAACAGGGTTACTAACTCTGTAACTAACACCAGCAGAGTTACTAACTCTGTAACTAACACCAGCAGGGTTACTAACTCTGTAACTAACACCAACAGGGTTACTAACTCTGTAACTAACACCAACAGGGTTACTAACTCTGTAACTAACACCAGCAGGGCTACTAACTCTGTAACTAACACCAACAGGGTTACTAACTCTGTAACTAACACCAACAGGGTTACTAACTCTGTAACTAACACCAGCAGGGCTACTAACTCTGTAACTAACACCAACAGAGTTACTAACTCTGTAACTAACACCAACAGGGTTACTAACTCTGTAACTAACACCAACAGGGTTACTAACTCTGTAACTAACACCAGTAATGATACAAAGTTATAATCTACAGCTGCTCGGCAAACCACCACTGCTGGATGAAGGCTTCCTGCCACACTTCACCGACTGTCAAATAGCCATACTTCACCACGCCGTGTCTAGATTAGCCATACTTCACCACGCCGTGTCTAGATTAGCCATACTTCACCACGCCGTGTCTAGATTAGCCATACTTCACCACGCCGTGTCTAGATTAGCCATACTTCACCACGCCGTGTCTAGATTAGCCATACTTCACCACGCCGTGTCTAGATTAGCCATACTTCACCACGCCGTGTCTGTAGATTAGCCATACTTCACCACGCCGTGTCTGTAGATTAGCCATACTTCACCACGCCGTGTCTGTAGATTAGCCATACTTCACCACGCCGTGTCTGTAGATTAGCCATACTTCACCACGCCGTGTCTAGATTAGCCATACTTCACCACTCCGTGTCTGTAGATTAGCCATACTTCACGCCGTGTCTAGATTAGCCATACTTCACCACGCCGTGTCTGTAGATTAGCCATACTTCACCACGCCGTGTCTAGATTAGCCATACTTCACCACTCCGTGTCTGTAGATTAGCCATACTTCACGCCGTGTCTAGATTAGCCATACTTCACCGACTGTCAAATAGCCATACTTCACCACTCCGTGTCTGTAGATTAGCCATACTTCATCACTCCGTGTCTGTAGATTAGCCATACTTCATCACTCCGTGTCTGTAGATTAGCCATACTTCACCACGCCGTGTCTAGATTAGCCATACTTCACGCCGTGTCTAGATTAGCCATACTTCACCGACTGTCAAATAGCCATACTTCACCACTCCGTGTCTGTAGATTAGCCATACTTCACCACGCCGTGTCTGTAGATTAGCCATACTTCACCACGCCGTGTCTAGATTAGCCATACTTCACCACGCCGTGTCTGTAGATTATCCATACTTCACCACGCCGTGTCTGTAGATTAGCCATACTTCACCACGCCGGTTGGTGCGGGTTGGCCCTGGCTAGGAATCCACACCAGGTACTCATTTAAGGCCGAGCCGATCTAGGGGGAGGCCCAGGACCGGTTCAAACGATCGTCACTGTGGTGTTGTGCCGTGAGCGGGAATCGAACTCGGGTTCTCTGGCGGGTTGGTAGCGCTAACCGCGGCACCACCGCTCTCCCCACGCATTGCGCAATCGTATTGCAATAAACAGCTGCGCCACTCGGCAATCATGAAAATGGTGTGCGACTCGTCGAGGCTTTCCCGGTACACATGAGTTACATTAAAATTATTACGATTGATATTGTTACAAAAAAGTAACAATCGGGAGTTCATAACGAAGGATTGCAGCTGATTGCGGCCCTTAGGATCGCGTGCGTGCGTGCCAGCCAGCCAGCAGCAGCCGTGGTGGTGGTGTTGGCGGTCAGCGCCACGTGCTAAGAACCCGGCCACACGAGTTCGATTCCCGCTCACGGCACAACACCGGTGACGTCGAGCATCTGAACCGGTCCTGGGCCCTCCCCGAGGTCGACTCGGCCTCAAATGGGCGTTGTGATCACAGCGCGCTGACCACCGCTCCGGTACTCACAAGGGATACCGCGTGAGGGTTACTTACGGTGTGTACTGTGTGTGTGTACTGTGTGTGTGTGTGTGTACTGTGTGTGTGTGTGTGTACTGTGTGTGTGTGTGTGTACTGTGTGTGTGTGTGTGTACTGTGTGTGTGTGTGTGTACTGTGTGTGTGTGTGTGTACTGTGTGTGTGTGTGTACTGTGTGTGTGTGTGTGTACTGTGTGTGTGTGTGTGTACTGTGTGTGTGTGTGTGTACTGTGTGTGTGTGTGTGTACTGTGTGTGTGTGTGTGTGTACTGTGTGTGTGTGTGTGTACTGTGTGTGTGTGTGTGTACTGTGTGTGTGTGTGTGTACTGTGTGTGTGTGTGTGTACTGTGTGTGTGTGTGTGTACTGTGTGTGTGTGTGTGTGTGTACTGTGTGTGTGTGTGTGTACTGTGTGTGTGTACTGTGTGTGTGTGTGTGTACTGTGTGTGTGTACTGTGTGTGTGTGTGTGTGTACTGTGTGTGTGTGTGTACTGTGTGTGTACTGTGTGTGTGTGTGTACTGTGTGTGTACTGTGTGTGTGTGTGTACTGTGTGTGTACTGTGTGTGTGTGTGTACTGTGTGTGTACTGTGTGTACTGTGTGTGTACTGTGTGTGTACTGTGTGTACTGTGTGTACTGTGTGTACTGTGTGTGTACTGTGTGTACTGTGTGTACTGTGTGTGTACTGTGTGTGTACTGTGTGTGTACTGTGTGTGTACTGTGTGTGTACTGTGTGTACTGTGTGTGTACTGTGTGTACTGTGTGTACTGTGTGTACTGTGTGTACTGTGTGTGTGTGTACTGTGTGTGTGTGTGTGTGTACTGTGTGTGTGTGTGTACTGTGTGTGTGTGTGTGTACTGTGTGTGTGTGTGTGTGTACTGTGTGTGTGTGTGTGTACTGTGTGTGTGTGTGTGTGTACTGTGTGTGTGTGTGTGTGTACTGTGTGTGTGTGTGTGTGTACTGTGTGTGTGTGTGTGTGTACTGTGTGTGTGTGTGTGTGTACTGTGTGTGTGTGTGTGTACTGTGTGTGTGTGTGTGTGTACTGTGTGTGTGTGTGTGTGTACTGTGTGTGTGTGTGTGTGTACTGTGTGTGTGTGTGTGTAGTGTGTGTGTACTGTGTGTGTGTGTGTGTGTACTGTGTGTGTGTGTGTGTGTACTGTGTGTGTGTGTGTGTGTGTACTGTGTGTGTACTGTGTGTGTGTGTGTGTGTACTGTGTGTGTGTGTGTGTACTGTGTGTGTGTGTGTACTGTGTGTGTGTGTGTACTGTGTGTGTGTGTGTACTGTGTGTGTGTGTGTACTGTGTGTGTGTGTGTACTGTGTGTGTGTGTACTGTGTGTGTGTGTGTGTACTGTGTGTGTGTGTACTGTGTGTGTGTGTGTGTACTGTGTGTGTGTGTGTGTACTGTGTGTGTGTGTGTGTACTGTGTGTGTGTGTGTGTACTGTGTGTGTGTGTGTGTGTACTGTGTGTGTGTGTGTGTACTGTGTGTGTGTGTGTGTACTGTGTGTGTGTGTGTGTGTACTGTGTGTGTGTGTACTGTGTGTGTACTGTGTGTGTGTGTGTGTACTGTGTGTGTACTGTGTGTGTGTGTGTGTACTGTGTGTGTACTGTGTGTGTGTGTGTGTACTGTGTGTGTGTGTGTGTACTGTGTGTGTGTGTGTGTACTGTGTGTGTGTGTGTGTACTGTGTGTGTGTGTGTACTGTGTGTGTGTGTGTGTACTGTGTGTGTGTGTGTGTACTGTGTGTGTGTGTGTGTACTGTGTGTGTGTGTGTACTGTGTGTGTGTGTGTGTACTGTGTGTGTGTGTGTGTACTGTGTGTGTGTGTGTGTACTGTGTGTGTGTGTGTGTACTGTGTGTGTGTGTGTACTGTGTGTGTGTGTGTACTGTGTGTGTGTGTGTGTGTACTGTGTGTGTGTGTGTGTGTACTGTGTGTGTGTGTGTACTGTGTGTGTGTGTGTACTGTGTGTGTGTGTGTGTACTGTGTGTGTGTGTGTGTACTGTGTGTGTGTGTGTGTGTACTGTGTGTGTGTGTGTGTGTACTGTGTGTGTGTGTACTGTGTGTGTGTGTACTGTGTGTGTGTGTGTACTGTGTGTGTGTGTGTACTGTGTGTGTGTGTGTACTGTGTGTGTGTGTGTACTGTGTGTGTGTGTGTACTGTGTGTGTGTGTGTACTGTGTGTGTGTGTGTACTGTGTGTGTGTGTGTACTGTGTGTGTGTGTGTACTGTGTGTGTGTGTGTACTGTGTGTGTGTGTGTACTGTGTGTGTGTGTGTGTGTACTGTGTGTGTGTGTGTGTGTACTGTGTGTGTGTGTGTGTACTGTGTGTGTGTGTGTGTACTGTGTGTGTGTGTGTGTACTGTGTGTGTGTGTGTGTACTGTGTGTGTGTGTGTGTACTGTGTGTGTGTGTGTGTACTGTGTGTGTGTGTGTGTACTGTGTGTGTGTGTGTGTACTGTGTGTGTGTGTACTGTGTGTGTGTGTACTGTGTGTGTGTGTACTGTGTGTGTGTGTACTGTGTGTGTGTGTGTGTACTGTGTGTGTGTGTGTACTGTGTGTGTGTGTGTGTACTGTGTGTGTGTGTGTGTACTGTGTGTGTGTGTGTGTACTGTGTGTGTGTGTGTGTACTGTGTGTGTGTGTGTACTGTGTGTGTGTGTACTGTGTGTGTGTGTGTGTACTGTGTGTGTGTGTGTGTACTGTGTGTGTGTGTGTGTGTTGTGTGTGTGTGTGTGTGTGTTCTGTGTGTGTGTGTACTGTGTGTGTGTGTGTGTGTACTGTGTGTGTGTGTGTACTGTGTGTGTGTGTGTGTGTACTGTGTGTGTGTGTACTGTGTGTGTGTGTGTACTGTGTGTGTGTGTGTACTGTGTGTGTGTGTGTGTGTACTGTGTGTGTGTGTGTGTGTACTGTGTGTGTGTGTGTGTGTACTGTGTGTGTGTGTGTGTGTACTGTGTGTGTGTGTGTGTACTGTGTGTGTGTGTGTACTGTGTGTGTGTGTGTACTGTGTGTGTGTGTGTGTACTGTGTGTGTGTACTGTGTGTGTGTGTGTGTACTGTGTGTGTGTGTGTACTGTGTGTGTGTGTGTACTGTGTGTGTGTGTGTACTGTGTGTGTGTGTACTGTGTGTGTGTGTGTGTACTGTGTGTGTGTACTGTGTGTGTGTGTGTACTGTGTGTGTGTGTGTACTGTGTGTGTGTACTGTGTGTGTGTGTGTGTGTACTGTGTGTGTGTGTGTGTGTACTGTGTGTGTGTGTGTACTGTGTGTGTGTGTGTACTGTGTGTGTGTGTGTACTGTGTGTGTGTGTGTACTGTGTGTGTGTGTGTGTACTGTGTGTGTGTGTGTGTACTGTGTGTGTGTGTGTGTGTACTGTGTGTGTGTGTGTGTGTACTGTGTGTGTGTGTACTGTGTGTGTGTGTACTGTGTGTGTGTGTGTACTGTGTGTGTGTGTGTACTGTGTGTGTGTGTGTACTGTGTGTGTGTGTGTACTGTGTGTGTGTGTGTACTGTGTGTGTGTGTGTACTGTGTGTGTGTGTGTACTGTGTGTGTGTGTGTACTGTGTGTGTGTGTGTACTGTGTGTGTGTGTGTACTGTGTGTGTGTGTGTGTGTAGTGTGTGTGTGTGTGTGTGTACTGTGTGTGTGTGTGTGTACTGTGTGTGTGTGTGTGTACTGTGTGTGTGTGTGTGTACTGTGTGTGTGTGTGTGTACTGTGTGTGTGTGTGTGTACTGTGTGTGTGTGTGTGTTCTGTGTGTGTGTGTGTGTACTGTGTGTGTGTGTGTGTACTGTGTGTGTGTGTGTGTACTGTGTGTGTGTGTACTGTGTGTGTGTGTACTGTGTGTGTGTGTACTGTGTGTGTGTGTACTGTGTGTGTGTGTGTGTACTGTGTGTGTGTGTGTACTGTGTGTGTGTGTGTGTACTGTGTGTGTGTGTGTGTACTGTGTGTGTGTGTGTGTACTGTGTGTGTGTGTGTGTACTGTGTGTGTGTGTGTACTGTGTGTGTGTGTACTGTGTGTGTGTGTGTGTACTGTGTGTGTGTGTGTGTACTGTGTGTGTGTGTGTGTGTACTGTGTGTGTGTGTGTGTGTACTGTGTGTGTGTGTACTGTGTGTGTGTGTGTGTGTACTGTGTGTGTGTGTGTACTGTGTGTGTGTGTGTGTGTACTGTGTGTGTGTGTACTGTGTGTGTGTGTGTACTGTGTGTGTGTGTGTACTGTGTGTGTGTGTGTGTGTACTGTGTGTGTGTGTGTGTGTACTGTGTGTGTGTGTGTGTGTACTGTGTGTGTGTGTGTGTGTACTGTGTGTGTGTGTGTGTACTGTGTGTGTGTGTGTACTGTGTGTGTGTGTGTACTGTGTGTGTGTGTGTGTACTGTGTGTGTGTACTGTGTGTGTGTGTGTGTACTGTGTGTGTGTGTGTACTGTGTGTGTGTGTGTACTGTGTGTGTGTGTGTACTGTGTGTGTGTGTACTGTGTGTGTGTGTGTGTACTGTGTGTGTGTACTGTGTGTGTACTGTGTGTGTGTGTGTACTGTGTGTGTGTACTGTGTGTGTGTGTGTGTGTACTGTGTGTGTGTGTGTGTGTACTGTGTGTGTGTGTGTACTGTGTGTGTGTGTGTACTGTGTGTGTGTGTGTACTGTGTGTGTGTGTGTACTGTGTGTGTGTGTGTGTACTGTGTGTGTGTGTACTGTGTGTGTGTGTGTACTGTGTGTGTGTGTGTGTACTGTGTGTGTGTGTGTACTGTGTGTGTGTGTGTGTACTGTGTGTGTGTGTGTACTGTGTGTGTGTGTGTACTGTGTGTGTGTGTGTGTACTGTGTGTGTGTGTGTACTGTGTGTGTGTGTGTGTACTGTGTGTGTGTGTGTACTGTGTGTGTGTGTACTGTGTGTGTGTGTGTGTACTGTGTGTGTGTGTGTGTACTGTGTGTGTGTGTGTACTGTGTGTGTGTGTGTGTGTACTGTGTGTGTGTGTACTGTGTGTGTGTGTGTGTACTGTGTGTGTGTGTGTGTGTACTGTGTGTGTGTGTACTGTGTGTGTGTGTGTGTACTGTGTGTGTGTGTGTACTGTGTGTGTGTGTGTACTGTGTGTGTGTGTACTGTGTGTGTGTGTACTGTGTGTGTGTGTGTACTGTGTGTGTGTGTACTGTGTGTGTGTGTGTGTGTACTGTGTGTGTGTGTGTGTACTGTGTGTGTGTGTGTGTACTGTGTGTGTGTGTGTGTGTACTGTGTGTGTGTGTGTACTGTGTGTGTGTGTACTGTGTGTGCGTGTACTGTGTGTACTGTGTGTACGTGTACGGTGTGTGTACTGTGTGTGTACGGTGTGTACTGTGTGTGTGTACTGTGTGTGTGTACGGTGTGTACTGTGTGTGTGTGTACTGTGTGTGTACTGTGTGTGTGTACGGTGTGTACTGTGTACTATCTAGTTAGTTGTAAGGATATTGACAAAAGGCAACGGAACAGAATCAAAACGAGTGCGTAAGGTTGCACGAGGCACACTTGGAAACGTAGTGAATATATCATTATAGCACATTCACTTGAATGTGCGTTTTAGAATGCAGATATTTTAAGCGTTGATGCACTGCCCCTTATGGAAAGACTCTCCCCCGTCATGGGAACGTCTACATTTCACCATATAACCCGCGGGGTATACCACTTTTTACAAACAAAACAAGAGCCTGCGGGGTATATGGAGGTGCGGGTTATCCCAAGGATATTTTACACGTGTGACATGTCATGACTCGTTTAAATGTGTTCATGGTAGGACTATCCACTATGCAACCTTTGACTAAAGCACTGCTGAATAAACCACTGACACTAAAATTGCACATGTTATCACGTTTTAAATGAATTGTTTGTACAATTAAACGACAATGTTTGAAGTGCGCGCACTGTTTACCGGCCACGGAGAGCTGGGGGGAGGGAGAGGTGGGGGTTGGGGGGTGGGGCAGCTGGGGGGAGAGAGAGGTGGGGGGGTGGGGGCGAGGCACCGTAGTGCCGCTATTATCTGCGCAGTGTGCAATCTACCACTGCTAAAACTGTACTTATATACAGTTACGTGCTATTTATTGGATATTTAATTTTGTTACTTATTTACTGTTTTAAGTTCACTCGTTTCGGGTTAGTTTGTGTTTTTTTGTGCACGTTATGATTTTAATGTTAACAATGGATAGTGGGATGTATTACAAATGTAAACCTCGTATTATATGATGGAATTAAGTTGCGGCAACAACGTTAAAGATATGAATGCATGCAGGGTATATGGAGGTGCAGGCTATCTGAAATTTGTTTTACACACAACGCTATTTTTGCGGGCTCTATTCGGGAAAATACGGTCATTATCACCGTTCTCAATGCTCATTGGAGCTGGAAATCAATCACTCAAACTTGACTGCATTATATTATTTATATACAGTATATATGTATCTTGATAAAACTAGGTATGACTGCACTGCCTTCAACATAGTTTGTTGTGATTTAAAATTGCATACCTTTCAAGTGATTTTGTGAATTCTACACCCTTGTGATAGTTTGGAATGACTGTACTGCATTGCCAAATGTCTGTGCAATGTTTAATGCACGAAGCTATGAACCCTGCCACCTGAGTTGGATTTCTGGCCATGGCTGACATAGGAGGTGGTGTGTGCTTAATTTAATAATGTGTATAATAAATGGTGTTGGTATGAGAGAAAAAAACACATTGCACAACATTTGCAAAGTGGGTTTTTGATGGACTACATGAACCACTTTGAAACGGTAGAAGAGCCGGACTGTAACAGAGCAAATAGAAAATAAGCGTCTGGTCTGTGAACAGCTGCATCACAATAAGGCGAAGAGCTCCAGCCGGGTGGTGCTATACTGTAATCGTAGACCTTGAAGGATGGATGTCGACCCCACCTCTGCTCGTTTCTGCAATTGTTGCAATGGCCAGGTGTTTCGGCGTAGTCGCAGACACCGTAGCCTTGACGTTTTTATCATTGCCATTCTGCCGCAAGTAAACTAACGATGTTGCATCTCGTGTATGTCCTCCTGCAGAACGAGCCATCGGTGGGAGCCACGCTGCACACTCCCATGGCCTTACGACGGCTCCTGTATTGGCATAAAGATCCGATGGCTTTGGTATTGTTGCTCATTTCATTGTTCATCAAATCGACTCATTCTTTGGAGGACACTGCAAATACTCCACCTTGCCTGACCCCACTGTGTGGCCACTTTGGCACCAAAACACGTTACGAGGACGTGAGCAAGTTCAGTGGATGGGTAGGTGAAGGGGAATGTCGGGCAATGCACCTCAATGCTGTGATCCGCCACGGGACTCGTTTGCCCACAGCCCGTCAAATACGCGCCATGCGAAACATGCATCAGTTGATGGCTGCCGGCACCTCGGCACTCGCGCGGAAGATTGGCGAGTGGCATTTCTGGTTCCGTGAAGAGCTCGGCGGAGAGCTGGTCGAGAAGGGAGCTCGAGATGAAGCGCAACTGGCCGAGCGGCTTGCTGAACGATTCCCGGATTTATTAGGCACGTGGGCCGTCAATCACAAATCCCTGCGATTCCTCAGCAGCTCCAAGCCACGTTGTGTCCAAAGCGCCACAGCCTTCATGCATGCCCTCTGGCACCACCAGCCTGCACATTACCCGGAGATTACAGTCGACGACCGGGTCATGAGATTCTTTGACGAGTGCGAAAGGTTTGTTGAAAATGTGAAAGAAAATGTGAGTGCGCTCTACCACGTGATCGCCTTCATGGAGGGTAAAGAGATGTGGAACGTGCAGCAAAAAATCTCGGAGAGGATCGGCGTGCCTCAAGAACACGTCACAAGAAGTAAGGGCACCCAACTAGCAAAATAAAAAAAGAAATGGACTATTTCATATTCTTAGCTCTTTCGGTAAAGTCACGTTTGTGTTATGGTCGAAACGTCGTGAGAATTTTTATTGTTGTATATATTTTATTATTTTATTGTTTCCCTTCAACGTGACTTTACCGAAAGAGCTAAGAATATGAATTACTGCAGTCATGAAAGCTTTAAATAAAAAAAGAAATGGACTGTTTATGCACAAGAAAACAATCCTATGCCCACGTTTTAGTTAAAGCTGTACTATAACTGAGATTTTCTCAGTGAATCTGTCAAAGATACACAGGCCTGGGTTATCAATTTAGCAAATCCATGGTGTCAGCACACAAAGAGGTCACCTTCAGGACATTTCATGAATGTCAATTATTCACAACTGTGGGGAAAACTCACAAGTCCATGAGTTGCCGTTACTAAGTGCAAGCACTTGGAATCAAACAAGTACTTGTGTGGTTAATGCAGACATGATTCCTTGCAAAATATCTCTTATTTGGTGTTTGGACATCTTAACACCTGTTTTATTGCCAGAAAGGGTAAAACCTATTATAATTTTTTTCGTACTTTGATACTGACAAAAAGGTCCCATTTAGCTTTTTTATTTAATCTCTGAAATTGAATTTGAGATGGTGAAGATGCTAAAGATGTTTGTTGTTTCCCCTTTTCCATGATTTTCTATCATTAGTTCCAGAAGTGGAAAAACAACAATGAAATGAATACAATTACAGGCGCAGGAAGTGCCAAAACTCTAAATACGGCAGTAGAAAGATGTTGAATAACCAAGGTTAAGGGAAAACATAAGTAAACAACATTTTAAAAAGTAGTTTGGTATTGTAATATAGTATGCACGGATGCAGCTGTTGAGAAAGGCAGTGTTGAAAAACAATGTAAGTAAACAAAATTAATAACAATAGGACCCAGCCTCAGTGTACTTAAAAAGAGGTTCAAGTTATAATGAGTGGTGACTGCTCAGTGGTGGCTGAAACTCAACCATCTGTCAATAGGAGCCTCTAATAAGGTACCAAGGCCCGGCCCGACTAACTGACCGACCGGCCAAGTGAATACGCAAATAAACGATTGCTGACATGTTTTCCTCTATTTAAAGCTTTCGTGACTGCAATGATTAATCTTCTTTGGTTCTTTCGGTAAAGTCACGTAGAATGAGAATAAAATAATAAATTGATATATTATTATTTTATTCTCATTCTACGTGACTTTACCGAAAGAACCAAAGAAGATGTTTTCCTCTTTTTTATGAATGTTAACTTAAGCTACTTTGAATGATACATTAAGCATATTATTTTAACTCAATACAAATTCCTGCAAACGATGTTCACGCACTTTTTACTTGCATTTTTTTAGAATTAATTCAAGCCGCATTTTACGTCTGCTCCTTTGAACTCGCGGTGAATGGGACACACTCAATTTGGTGTGAACTCTTCGATGCTGAAGACGCCAAGGTGTGTTCCGCACACACCATCATACACCTACATATACCAGCAGTCCCTGACTTATGAGCGCCAGATTTATGAACATCTGCGCTTACGGACGAGCTTCCATAAGATATTTATGTTTAACCATCCAACTTGGGAACGTGAACTCGCACTTTCGAACCGAACCGCGGAACTATTTGGTTAGGCAAATATACAAATATACAATGTCTTCTTATTTATGAGTTTAACAATGCTTACATTTTTTGTTTCACCGTAGCCCCCCTGCACCTCTGATTAGCACGGTTGGCTACGTACGGTGCGAAAGAAGTTTAACATCCATACATAACACATTTCATAACACAGACCATATGTGCATTTAAATACCAACGGGTCTCGGGAATGGAACTCGTTTGCAAGTCGGGGACTGCCCAAATGAAATGTATATGTTATCCATTGACTGTCAGTGCTTTTGATTTAAAGCTTTCGTGACTGCAGTAATTCATATTCTTAGTTTTTTCGGTAAAGTCACGTTGAAGAGAAACAACAAAATAATAAAATATATATAAACAATAAAAAATTCTCACGACGTTTCGACCATAACTCAAACGGTCATCATCAGGTGTGTTCGGTTTGCATAAATTTATTTTTAAAACGGCACATTTATTTATTTATAAAAAACGTTAGCGTCACGCGCAGCGATTGGCAGTTTGCCCAGGACTAGTCCATCTATTTTTTTGAAAAGAGGAGGGGGGAGACGAAATTTTTTTTTTTATAATGTATGCTGTCTGAAAGCCACTGTAAGCGTGAACAATCAATTCAAGAACTGAAATGATTTATCAAATCTTTCCAATGATTGCTAAGATAGAATCCATCTTCTCGGTTGAAATTGTCTCTGTGCTTGTATATGTGGATAGCCTCATGAACGAATCTCTCATGGAAGCCAGATGGCTTACAAAGAACCTCCGTCTTGGAAAAGTCAATGGCATGTGAGCCTACTGAATTAGAACAATGATCTGCTACGGCCGAGGTGTTGGTCCTACCGTGTTTAAGGTCTGCTTTATGTTCACGAATGCGGTCCGAGACATGGCGTTTGGTTTCTCCAATGTAACTACTACCACAGAGGCAACTTAGTTTGTAGACACCAGGGTATTGTATGTCCGGAATCACATCTTTTACAGACTCGAACCAGATCACGGATTTTATGTAATGTGTTGAAACGGACCTGGATCTTGTGTTTATTCAAGATTTTGGAGATCTTTTTTGTGATCCCAGCAATGTAGGGTAAAGTGATGGTTTTGAAAGGCTCCTCAAGAGGGTTCTTCTTCATGGTTTGAGTGATAGCTTTGCGGATTGTATAGTCGGAGTAACCATTAGCCCTAAGAGCTTGGTGTACGTGCTTGAGTTCACTGCTTATGTGTTCCTGGTCGGATATGCATTGGGCTCTATGATACAGAGTCTTGATGAGAGAATTCTTCTGTGATGGATGGTGGTGGGAATCCGGTTTCAGATAAGCATCCGTATGGGTAGCTTTCCTGTAGACAGAGTGGCTCATTGAACCATCAGGTCTCTTTTTAATTAGGACATCCAAAAAAGGTATCTTGCCATCTATTTCGACTTCCATGGTAAATCTGATGGCTGGGTGTATGGAATTGATGTGGTCGAAGAATTGGTCTAGAGCAGGCCGGCCATGTGGCCAGATGACAAAAGTGTCATCCACGTACCTCTTCCATAAGGTTGGGCGCAGAGTGGCAGTCTGGATGGCGTCAGTCTCAAATTTCTCCATGAAAATGTTAGCTATAACTGGAGAAAGGGGGGAGCCCATTGGGGTGCCCTCAGTTTGTTTGTAGAAAGTTCCATTCCAAGTGAAGTATGTATTGGTTAAACAGTGTCTCACCAGGGGGGGTACCTCAGTGTTTAGTCCTTGATGAACCAAGTCTTCAATGATTGCAATGGTGTCAGGTACAGGAACCTTGGTGAATAAGGAAACTACATCAAAACTGACAAGCAGGTCGTCTGGGGACAGGGAAATACCCTTGATTGTCTGATACCAGGTGAGTAGAATTTTGTACCGCAGAGGTGGTCTTTCCAGTGAAAGGACGCAGGATTTCAGACAAAAAACGAGCTAGTTTGTAGGTGGGGGAGCTGATAGTAGAGACTATGGGACGAAGAGGTGTATCAACTTTATGTATTTTTGGTAAGCCGTATAATCTTGGTGGCCTGGCAGCAGAAGGTTTCAACGAAAACTGTTTAGATTGATCAATTAATGCGGTTGAATCAGAAATTATTTTGTTGGTTTGTGTGACGAGGCTGTTGGTGGGATCTCTTTTTATTTTTGTATAACTACCATCGTCGAGTAATTCTTTAATTTTGTTGTTGTATTCTATTTTATCCATGATGACAGTAGCATTGCCTTTGTCAGCTGAGAGGAACTACAATATCATTCCTCTTTTTTAATTTATATAATTCAAAACGCTCATCTTTGCTGAGGTTGCTAGCTGGCATCTTAGCGTTTTTGAGGGTTGCAGCGATTTCAGATCTTGCTACGTCTGCAGCGATGTGACCCAGGCCCCTGAGAGCAACGTCTACTTGGGCAATTATATCATTAACTGGTATGTGTTTAGGTGTGACTGCAAAGTTTAGACCTTTAGCTAAAACGGATTTCAGACCATCGGAAATAGAACTGTTACTGCGATTAATTACGACTTTATTAACGTCTAACTTTTTGGTGTGTGGGTCCGGTCTTTTGTTTAAGAGGAGGTTAAATTTGGAAATCAGGTTTTCCTTACATTTGGTCGACATAGTAGCAGCTGAAGAGGCAGTCATATTGTCTACATGTTCCCAATCCGATGTGGACATTATTGCCGTCAATGATAAGTGTGATTTGTAGAGTGTCTTGTCTAACTGATCTAGTTCTGTGCGTATAAGTCTGATTTTTTCTGAGATAAGAGCTAAGCTAGTTTTGAAAAGAATTCGTTTCGCATTAGAAGAAGTTACAGCAGCAGAGGTCAGTGTAAATGCGATTGGTATTACCCCAGAGTCGCGGCATCTCTTCAGGAAGGTGAGAGACTCGATCAGCTGAGCTTTCTTATCCCGGAGTTTGTTGAAGGATCTTAAAGTTATGTGAAAACCCTCCCCGTAGAGGCGATTAAATTTTGATTTAAAGCTTTCGTGACTGCAGTAATTCATATTCTTAGTTTTTTCGGTAAAGTCACGTTGAAGAGAAACAACAAAATAACAAAATATATATAAAACAATAAAAAATTCTCACGACGTTTCGACCATAACTCAAACGGTCATCATCAGGTGTGTCGGTTTGCATAAATTTATTTTTAAAACGGCACATTTATTTATTTATAAAAAACGTTGGCGTCACGCGCAGCGATTGGCAGTTTGCCCAGGACTAGTCCATCTATTTTTTGAAAAGAGGAGGGGGGAGACGAAATTTTTTTTATAATGTATGCTGTCTGAAAGCCACTGTAAGCGTGAACAATCAATCAAGAACTGAAATGATTTATCAAATCTTTCCAATGATTGCTAAGATAGAATCCATCTTCTCGGTTGAAATTGTCTCTGTGCTTGTATATGTGGATAGCCTCATGAACGAATCTCTCATGGAAGCCAGATGGCTTACAAAGAACCTCCGTCTTGGAAAAGTCAATGGCATGTGAGCCTACTGAATTAGAACAATGATCTGCTACGGCCGAGGTGTTGGTCCTACCGTGTTTAAGGTCTGCTTTATGTTCACGAATGCGGTCCGAGACATGGCGTTTGGTTTCTCCAATGTAACTACTACCACAGAGGCAACTTAGTTTGTAGACACCAGGGTATTGTATGTCCGGAATCACATCTTTTACAGACGGAACCAGATCACGGATTTTATGTAATGTGTTGAAACGGACCTGGATCTTGTGTTTATTCAAGATTTTGGAGATCTTTTTTGTGATCCCAGCAATGTAGGGTAAAGTGATGGTTTTGAAAGGCTCCTCAAGAGGGTTCTTCTTCATGGTTTGAGTGATAGCTTTGCGGATTGTATAGTCGGAGTAACCATTAGCCCTAAGAGCTTGGTGTACGTGCTTGAGTTCACTGCTTATGTGTTCCTGGTCGGATATGCATTGGGCTCTATGATACAGAGTCTTGATGAGAGAATTCTTCTGTGATGGATGGTGGTGGGAATCCGGTTTCAGATAAGCATCCGTATGGGTAGCTTTCCTGTAGACAGAGTGGCTCATTGAACCATCAGGTCTCTTTTTAATTAGGACATCCAAAAAAGGTATCTTGCCATCTATTTCGACTTCCATGGTAAATCTGATGGCTGGGTGTATGGAATTGATGTGGTCGAAGAATTGGTCTAGAGCAGGCCGGCCATGTGGCCAGATGACAAAAGTGTCATCCACGTACCTCTTCCATAAGGTTGGGCGCAGAGTGGCAGTCTGGATGGCGTCAGTCTCAAATTTCTCCATGAAAATGTTAGCTATAACTGGAGAAAGGGGGGAGCCCATTGGGGTGCCCTCAGTTTGTTTGTAGAAAGTTCCATTCCAAGTGAAGTATGTATTGGTTAAACAGTGTCTCACCAGGGGGGGTACCTCAGTGTTTAGTCCTTGATGAACCAAGTCTTCAATGATTGCAATGGTGTCAGGTACAGGAACCTTGGTGAATAAGGAAACTACATCAAAACTGACAAGCAGGTCGTCTGGGGACAGGGAAATACCCTTGATTGTTGATACCAGGTGAGTAGAATTTTGTACCGCAGAGGTGGTCTTTCCAGTGAAAGGACGCAGGATTTCAGACAAAAAACGAGCTAGTTTGTAGGTGGGGGAGCTGATAGTAGAGACTATGGGACGAAGAGGTGTATCAACTTTATGTATTTTTGGTAAGCCGTATAATCTTGGTGGCCTGGCAGCAGAAGGTTTCAACGAAAACTGTTTAGATTGATCAATTAATGCGGTTGAATCAGAAATTATTTTGTTGGTTTGTGTGACGAGGCTGTTGGTGGGATCTCTTTTTATTTTTGTATAACTACCATCGTC